CGGAATATTATTTTTGTGTGATAAAAATAACCTGTGCAAAGTTTCAGCTCATTACGATATCATACAGGCATGGCTTCCATACATAAATTCAATTTTTTGACATTTTTGTATGAAAAGTGTGCCGAAAGTTATTTGTATCGCAAAACTTACGTCATATTCGGTTTTCTCGTACCCAAAAACACCCCAATACACATTTTTGAGTGTTTAAGTATACATTAAATATCACTTTTGGAAGAAAAATTGAATTTTCATGGATGACCATGGGCATCACACCAGACATGACACTTCACTCTGTCAACCAAAGTCGCTCAAAATCTAATGGTTTCTATTCCTCGGCACCCCCAATCATCCTGTGAAGTCAGATTTTGAATTACTTTTCTGGTTTGAAAGTTATCGTGTTAACAAATTTTTGCGTACAGGGTACAGGATACAGGGTACCACGCACATACATTCGGACATCAAAAAAACGCTAGATTCGTGTTCCCTGACTCCTAAAACACCAAGAAAACATATTTTTTGAGGGTGCTAATTTTTCGACCGGTTCCAATACTTTACCTTACACACTAGGTGTGTGCGGAAAAGTAAAAATAAGCCAAAATAATACAAACAACAAGACGAAAGAGTGAAATGAAGCTAAGAATAAAAAGTTTTCTTCGAAGTATCTTTTTCTTGTAAATTCAACTAACGCACTTTTTCAACATTTTGTTCAAGAATTTAAATGAACTCTACAGATTGAATAGAAATTGCGACTGACTGACGCGAACGTATATATCCGAAACCCGGACCAAAAATTACTAAAATCTGACCAAAAAATACAAAAACCGTACCAAAAATACGAAAATTGTACCAGCATGAATTCCGAAATTCACTTTACTTTTCTGAAGAACTAACTTCCCTGTGAGTTAAATTTTTCCTTTTTTCAAACAGAACCTGCAAATTGATGATTGGGCTGGATTAGCAGGACTTTTATACACGGAGATATTTAGTCTCGATTTCTTAACTCCTTTAAGTGAATCCGACGCCAAATTTAATTTGGAGCCTCATCTACAATTAGACTTAAGAAGGTAAATAGAAATAAAAATTAATTCTAATTGGAATCTTCCAATATCCTTACAAAATAATCTTATACAATTGCCTTTTTTCTTGTCATTTTCAGGTACATTGAAATGGTGCGGGGTGCAAGCGATACCATAGGTCTCAATGGACCAGACCTACTTGGAAATGTATATGCACCAAGAGGAAATATACATGTGCACTCACCTTATTTAGAAGTGTCAGCTTTTAATCCTCGTTCAAATTTCATTGCATTGAAAAAACATGATAACGGATTGTTAGTTAGATACTAGTTTCTTGTTAGTATCATTTCAATTTTAATTTTTTTTTTTTGTAATTATGACTAGTGACCCGACTTTTCGCTCAACCGTAAATATACTACATCGGAAACAAGCATTGCAAACAACTAAAAATGCAAACAATAAAAAGATTTTCTCTTGGATGCAATGGAAGCAGAAAGATAATACCCGCGAAAGTCCTGTACCCCAGATAATGTTAAATCCATTGCCAATTTTACACCCGATTTGCATTGCAATTCAAATATATAATCGTGACAGTGATGATCCAATTGACAATATTTGCTGGGATATTTTAAGAGCGATTGAAGAATATAACAAAGATAATGTATGATATTTTGTTGTCTAATAATTTAATTTAAAATAAATAAATGAGTTCTCTTTTAGGAATCTGCCGTAAATTTCGTTTCCAGGTACCGAGGAGGAGCAGGAGATGAAGCAGACGAAGGTGATGGAAGGAGTGGTATGACATCTGGCGATCCTTCCATTGGTTCATTGGATGTCGACGATAATAATGACGATATAAATTCATCAAAATCATCATATGTAATTGCTGGAGGACCAGAAAAACTTCCATGTGGTGCAAAATCGTCTGATTCATCTAAAAAAAACCATTCAACAAAATCTTTTCAATGGACTTTGAGCAATTGGGGCACAAATAAACAAAATATTCGAGTCGATCTAGCAAGTCCTGAGGATATTTCTCTGGACACTGATAATAACAGTTCAAGAGTTGTTTATGGTACAACAGTCTGAATTTTCAAACATTTAATTTTTTCATTTAATAATACTCTCATCATGTATTAAATTGATGGACATTTTATAATTAAATAATTTTGCATTTATTTCGCACAACTTACACATAATATAATAATAAATGATTAAGTCATAATAACATTATATATTTTTGCATTTATTTCAACATCCCTCAAGAATTTAAGCTTGTTTCACCATTGGCTGTAATTAAAAAAATGTATAAATGAATACTTGACGCTGCAATAATATATTTAAAAAGAATAGATGTGAAATAATTAAGTATTGAAATAGAGTGAGTGTTAATAAACTAAGATCTTCAGATTTACATAATCTTCAACCCTCCTGCAGACAGAACGGGTCTATCAGGCCCAGCAACTCAGAAAAAATTGAATAAAATCCAAACTAATAAATCGATTTACTTCAAACTTGCGCGTAAAACTAATGATATCGGTACACAAATAAAAATATATATAACGGTAAAATACACAAACTATAAAATATTTTTTCTTGACGAAAACCAAAATGTCACTTCAAACAGACAGTATGGGCCTCTACAGGCCCACCATACAAAATGTATGGGAATCCATATATATAGAGAAACATTTTCATTTTGTATTTCTATTTATTCAACTTGCTTTTCGTTTTCATCGAATAAAAACCAAAAAAAAAAAATTAAAAATTCATGTTGGTTTTTTGCATTTTGAAACTATTTTCATACATTTTGTATAGAGGACCTGAGAGGCCCATACTGTATTGATCTGTTCTTAATATGTACTGTCTGCAGGAGGGTTGAGTAGGTTGGTTAACATTTTCAAATTTGGTGTCATATCTTGGTGGCCACTTGGTATAAGTGGTAAAAGTACATCTTAAACGAATTTCTATTCGATATAAGACCATAAGAACGCTTCTTATATCATTCGCCATTCACACTCAAACTCTCACACATACGTGATACGTCAACAATGATGAACGCTTAAGGAACGCTTGAGTATATGAACGAATAAATTAAGGAAACTTTGAGGAACTATAAGAAACGTTATTTTTGAGATATAATGTCGCATGCACAATTTGTGTTGTACGCGCAAGCACCGCGCCGGAAACGTATAATCAATTGCTTATAATATACATACAGCAGTTAGGTGGTTTTTTTAAAATACAAAAATGGATTGAACATACTGTTATTGTTGAAAAATTCAACAGAGACAGAACTAGTCATTCTTACCTAATTCGGGGCGCAATCGTAATTTTTTCACCTGAATCGATCGCATCTGACACAATTATATATTTTATGATGGCTCCTACTCATTTGACTGATTTTCAATGAGAATATATAATAATTGCTTGAAAAAGATGTGAAAATCCACATTTTGTGCGATTTTTTCAGATTTTTGTATTGGAAGTGTATTCAAATTTAATCGGATCTTAAAATAAATGTCAGATTTGGTTTTCTCGTCCAAAAAACCCCCCGGTATTTTGGTTTCACAAAAATCGATTAATCAACATATTATCTCTGTGAATAGCCAGTCCAAAATGAAAACTTCAAAAAAAAAAATTGTGTGAAGTAATGAGTCAACCAAGCAAAACGGTTAATAACCTATCACCACTGGAGTCGTTGGCCCCGAATTAGGTAAGTGTCGAAGTTGAAAAAAACTAGGACAGTGATATTGAACTATTGATTTCGTGAACTTTTTTTTACTTTCATTTTAACTAGAATTAAACTTGAATTGAAAATTAAAACTCACCAATATGAAAACTTTTTTAGGAATCCATCGCTCAACCAGATTTTGAAGCTCGAAATTATTATTTTGTTGATCGCGGATTTCTTCATTGGTATTAAATGTAATTATGAACTCTGGTAAATTTTGCCAACCAGCTTTAAGTGGATACAAATTAAATTCCAAATTGAAAGTTGATTGTGCAAACAGAGAAACATTGAACTGGAAAGAAAATAAAACAAATACGTTTTGAAAATGGGCAATAAATTTTAAAATAATTATAATTTATAAAAGTTTTACCTGAGAGTGTCCTGCAAACATGAAATTGTCCGCGTTTTTTAAAAAACTTTTTAAATGTAGTGTTGAATTGGATGTGTTCTTTAGCGTTATCAAGAGTGTCATTGGTACTTTGACGTACATTTTTTCATCCAAATAACAGTATATATTTAAAGGTGCTTCGACAATTTCAATACAATTAACAATCAATTTAGTCTCATTTTCGTTTACTTCTCCAGTACGTCTCCAACGTATACAATAGACTCCAATAATTTGGTTTTTAACATTAACTGATGTTGAACTATGTAAAGTGTGTGCATTCAGAAAACCTTTTCGATTCTCCACCATATTGAATGCGTCAATCGTATGATTGTACATTGTTTTTGGTTCTAGTATATGTTCTATAACTTTATTTGAATCATTTTCCAGATTTTCATTGTTTTGTGTGTTCGCAAATGGCTTGTGATTTTCAACAAATGAAGAGACTTTTGTAAAAACATTATTTTTTTGTGGCGATTTTACAAAGGGTTGGTATACCTAAGGAAGAAAAAGTGAAATTATTTGAGGTTTAACATAAAACCTACAACTTTCTTTCATTCTTAATACAGGCTAGTCAAAAAATTTCGGGCCTGACATATAGACGGCACTAGTTACAAATTGTTCATGTGCTGTAATTGAAGTGCAAATTGTCAACAGTATTGTGTAAAAAAATTGAGTTGATATCAGTGATCGTTTGTTTTCTATAACATTATTTATCAAGCAACTTCGATATTTTTAGAAAAATGGATAAAATCGAATATCGTGCGGTGATTAAGTTTCTCACAAAAGAAGGTATAGCACCAAAAGATATCAATGACCGCTTACGTGCTGTTTATGGTAAACTTGCTCCATCGTATACCAGGATCAAAGAATGGGCAAAGCTATTCAAGTGGGGCACAGAATCATTGGAAGATGATCCACGTACAGGTCGACCAGTTGAAGTAACTGCTTCAGATGTGGTGGAGAAAATTGATCATCTCGTGCACGAAAATCCTCGAATGAGCAAGAAAGTGTTAGCAGCAATGTTTGACATCTCAACTGGCAGTGTATTCAATATACTTCACGAAAAATTGCACATGAGAAAGGCCTCTGGATTCTGGGATGCCAAAGGCATATTAATGGTTGAATTCCTTCCAAAGAACACCACAGTCACAGGCTATTATTATGCACAACAAATGTATAGATTGCGTAAAGCGATCAGAGAAAAGCGTCCTGGTTTGCTGACTCGAAAAGTTCTTCTTTTGCATGACAATGCACCGTCTCACAAATCATTGCTTGCACAAGCTGCCATCAGGGAAAGTGGGTTCGAACAACTCCACCATCCACCGTATTCTCCAGATCTGGCCCCCAGCGACTATTTCCTGTTCCCAAACACCAAAAGATATCTGAAGGGGAAGCAATATGAGTCCGAAGAAGAGATATCGAACGATATTTTCAAAGTATGGGAGGACAAAGATGCCAAGTGGTTTGAAGGAGGAATTAAAGCATTAAAGCATCGTTATGAAAGTGTCATTCGTGTTCATGGAGACTACTTTGAATAATAAATATAGTCATTTGAAAATACAATGTGTGTTTCTATATCAGGCCCGAAAATTTTTGACACGCCTGTAGATTGTGATTATTTCAAATGCATGAAATGGAAGTAATGAAAATAAAAGTGGATATCATTTAAGATTTAACATAAACCCTACTACTTTCTTACATTCTAAATAGATTGTGATTATTTCAAATGCATGAAATGGAAGTAATGAAAATAATCGAAACATTGAAAACATTTCTTCACTAAAGGAATAAGTTGGTTTACCCATTCAAGTGTCGTTTGTTCAGCCCGTAACAATAATACATCGTAGACCTTTTCTCCTCGAGAGTATGATTTATCAATTTTCCGGTGCGATTTAACATACGGTTTTTCTGTTACATTGAAGTCCTATATAGGGCAATAAACAATTGTTAATTAAATAAAAACAAAAATGATGTTGGAAGTCGTATAAAATGTATTCTATTTGTAATGTTTGGTTAAAACACTTAACAACAATTATAATTATAATATATAATTATATCTATTGAATATGTCGATAGGAGTGTATGTTTTGATTCAGCCATTACTATAAGTGTTGAATAACATACTCTCCTATCGATATATTCAATAGATAAATGATTTATATATTATTATATACTTACACTTATCAGAAACATATCCAAAATATCGATGTGCTGATTTTTTATTTCCAGTTCAATCTGAAATAAAAATTCTTCATTTTTCACGGCTTTTCTGAGTGGTTCTTTGTTTAGAGTGAAGAACTGTCCAATAAAGACAAACTCTGCTTCCTAGGGTTGAAGAAAAGGATGAAAAAAAGTAATTAATCAATAAGTAATGGAACAGAATGGAATGAAAAAAAATCGAAGGAATGGATCTGGAATTGTAGAGTAATGGAATAGTAATTTTTAAGTAAGTATGCCTCGCTGCTTACACATGGAATGCTGATAGTGTCTTTTTTTGATTTCATAATCGCATCTTCAATATAGTCCAATGTTACACTGGGCATTGACTTGAATGTTGTTTGAATGGATTTCTCAAATGGAATTGGATTCTCGTCAAATGCTTTTTTGGGGAAACCCGATCGATCATTTGTAATTTGATAACGGACCGTTTTTTGTAGCTCTAACGTTCCTTCAATTAAACTAATAACATTGATATTTATAATTTTTAGCGATTTGGGAGCCATGTCTCCAATATTCAACTCAAATCGTGACAACAACTTTTGCCTGGATGCTGTTAGATCAGACGCAATGAAAACTAAAAATACATTTTTAAATCAAAAATTACATTTTAGTTTAGAAATAAATGCGCTTTTTTTACATTTCATTGCTCACCTTTATTTTGAATATTAACCGGAACCGTAATGACCAAACTTACATTTTCGACCAACATATCGAACACATTTTCAATTCGAATTGTTACAGCAAACCATTCATTTGTTAACATAGTATCGTGACTCAACAATGATTCCGTTTTCAAATGAAATCTATAATATTTGGATATATATCATATTGTATTATCCATTGTACTAAAGGAAAAAATTATTCTTTAAATTCATTATAATTCTTACAATGGAATTATATAACAGGTTTCGCTTTCATTTGAGATATTTAATTTTTCATTAGTTCGATTGTACATCTTAAAGTCACTCTTATGTTGTGACGGTAGGCTTTGTAGAAGTGTCACAAAGTTATCTGGTGTTCCTATTTTGATTTCCAAACGAATGACCTACCAAAAATGTATGAGTAAATAACTTTTTTTATGTGTAACTAAAACTATTTTTGTGTTCGTTTTTTCGGTACGTACTCGTAATTCGGAATTCTCCATAAATTGATAGCTGGAAAAAAGTCAGAAATAATAGAAATTAAGCAATAAGTTGAAGAATGGATAGCAATCCTTCCGAAATTGAATAGTTATTTTCATGTGAGTATAAAACATGAAGAGAGTGTTGTTTTTACTTTTCCGCACACACCTAATGTGTAAGGGGAAAGTATTGCAATGGGTCAAAATTTACGACATCTCAAAAACATGTTTTCTGAACGTTTCTGAGGTCAGAGAACCCGAATCAGGCCGTTTTGAGCATGGTTGTTGTAGGCAACATTTTCGTCCAAAAGTCATACTTAATGTAGAATTAAACACTCACAAATATGCATTAGGGGGTTTCTTGGCACGAGAAAATCTAATCCGAGGCTAGTTTTGAGATACAACCAATTTTTGATACAGTTTCCTTGGAAAAATCAAATGTCGTACAAGTGGGTTCATCATGAAAGTGTGAAAAATCTTTTGCTAGTACTTCTGCTATTTAAGAATATTTCTATGCCAAGGTTTGAACATATTTTTTGGTCTCGAACTTTACGCCACTTGAAAGGCTTGAAAAATCGAACAAATATTACTTTGAACTTGCTTAATACTACGTGGGTTGATAAGTTCTTAGAATCGGACACTAGATGGCGACACAAGTAAATATCCATCTCATTTTTAGAAAGAGCCATCCTTTTTAGGAATGCCAACGGAATTTGAGCCAAATTTGTTCATGGAATCAGAGGTTACACCACTTGAAGGAACATAACCTCAAAATCGGACCAAATTCTTTATTTCATGTCTTTATTTCAAAGGCCGGGCTGGATGCAAATCTATTTCTCTCTACAGGGGATAGATAAAGGTCCCACCAGTTCACACCAGAAATATGAAGTTTATACGTTTTCAACTTGGTGAAATTTCGCCACCGTGCGTATGGCTTCCCGAGGCGGTTTTTAGTTACAATTTTAAAGTATACATTTTCTTGAAAAAACATTATTTTCTTGATTCAAAAAGATCAAAAATGACATGGATTATTTCTTTGGCATCGCTTCGTTCCATTCAAGATGATAAAGCTATATTTTGAAGATTACACTTCCAAAGAATACGAGCTAGAGCTCGAATTTTTGACCTTTTGAGGTTATGTGTATAATTGGTGACTGTCGGGACCATATATTGCCTCATAATGCACTAAATAGATTCAAACAGACATCAGCAGTTAACAATAAATAAAAATATCAATTTGATTAATGCATAAAATCAATTCAACATCGCTATAGAGTCGCCCCTTGATTCCACTTTGGGTAAATACGGAAACTCGTTGCGAGTGAATTTTTTTACCAAAAAGTTTAAGTAATAAATTTCCAAAACTATTGTACGGAATGCTTGGGATCTAGTCTAGATTATTCACTTGAATAGTACAGTCTTTCATGGCAACATCTTGGATTTATTGGAGCATCTCTTCAAAAGCTACCATTTTAGAGGCCATCTTCGGTCTGTACGACCACATGCAAACTCAATAGACTACTTCTAAATGGCCCTAATCGATAGTCCAAACAATACCATCTAGCTCGGTTTTGGTTTCACTGATAGGTATAAGAAACAAAAATTTATAGTTATTTAACAAATGAATTTTGATTCGTTTTGCATTTTAAGAAATAACTGGAGATTGGTCCCTTCCAACAGTTGTAATTTCCGAGTCCATGACCAGATTTGGCTCAAATTCCGTTGGCATTCCTAAAAAGGATGGCTCTTTTAAAAAATGAGATGGATATTTACTTGTGTCGCCATCTGGTGTCCGATTCTAAGAACTTATCAACCCACGTAGTAAAATACGCAACTACCACAGTGCGGAAAATTCGTCTTACTCCCGTAAGACTCTTTATTTGTCAATGCTACTTGATTTTACTTTCCACACCTAGTGTGGAAAAGGTATTGTATTAGGCCAAAAAATTAAAGTCACTCCAAAGCATGTTTTCTATGCATATTTCCTGAAGAAAACACGATTAGAAGCGATTTAGGAGCGTATTAATGTTTCTCACTGTATAGCATGTGCGGTGTGTCCTGTGTCCTGTCCGCAATTTTTTATATTTTGCATGATAGCTCAGGATACAGAAAAAATATTCAAAATCTGATTTTTCTGGATGATCGGAGACTGCGAGGAGTACATCTGGTCAAATTTTGAGCGACGTTGGTTGACCGGTGTAAAGTGTGAGGCCATAGGAAAAGGGTATTTATCAAAAATACCCTTTCCACAGAGACTTAGCAGGATGAACTAGCAGAATGATTGGGGACTACGAGGAATGCATCTGGTTAAATTTTCAGCGACATTATTCATTTTTTCATTTTCATCATTTGGTTGATCGATATAAAACTTGAACTCTGAAGAGGTACTTATGAGGAAAATGCCATTGAAAGATTGTGTAGTGGGAAGTGTTTTGGCACTAGAAAACCATTAAGGGTACTTCCCATACAAAATTTCGTTTTTGAGCGAAAAATCCAAAATTTTGTTCGAGAAGTACCCCTATTATGCATTGAAATCACTTCAAACTCTCGGAATGTTATTTTTGTGTGATAAAAATAACCTGTGCAAAGTTTCAGCTCATTACAATATCATACAGGCATGGCTTCCATACAAAAATCCAATTTTTTTTGAAATTTTTGTATGAAAAGTATGTCGAAAATTGTTTGTATCGCAATACTGACGTTATATCGCTCAAAATCTAATGGTTTCTATTCCTCGGCACCCTCAATCATCCTGGGAAGTCAGATTTTGAATTACTTTTCTTGTTTAAAAGTTATCGTTCTAACAAATTTTTGCGTACAGGGTACAGGGTACCACGCACATACATTCGGACATCCAAAAACGCTAGATTCGTGTTCCCTGGCCACAAAAACACCCAGAAAACATGTTTTTTGAGGGTGTTATATTTTCGACCGATTCCAATACTTTACCTTACACACTAGGTGTGTGCGGAAAAGTGAAATTATACTCTGAAAGTTTAAAGAAATTCCAATGCACATGCAGATGTCTACGAACGCGTTCGTATAAAAACTGTTCGTTCGTAGAAACATTTTTTCGATTCGTGTTCGTTCGTATTCGCTCAGGAAGACAGCGTACACAGAAAGAAAATATCAGCCGACGCTATACGCAAAACCGACTGGTACGTGCGCTTATACGTTTTTACATCTTTTACATCTATTACCATACGATTTTTCGACTGTGCGAAGATACGCACAAAGAGTAACGAATCAGTCGAAAAATCGTATGGTCACTAGATGTAAAAGATGTAAAAACGTATGAGCGCACGTACCAGTCGGCTTTGCGTATAGCGTCGGCTGATATTTTCTTACTGTGTATTCGTTCCCATTCGTTCGCAGAAAAATTTTCCGATTCGTATTCGTTCGCGTTCGCTAAAGGAGATAGCATGTTCGTTCGTGTTCGTTCGTAAACATTTTTAGAAGAAAAATTAAAAAAAAATTCAAACAAAGGTTATGAAAAATCAATGAAAAAGTGTTCACTATGAAATTAAAGGACGAGCGTTCGTTTAAAGAATTTTCTGATTCGTGTCCGCTAAGGGAGACGGCGTGTTCGTTCCCATTCGTTCGTAGAAAGTTTTCCCCCATCCGTGTTCGTTCGTATTCGTGACGAACACGGACGAATACGAATATGAATGTTCGTAGACATCTCTGACATTGGGGATATCTCCCATACAAAATTTCCGATTTTGAGCCAAAACTCTAAAATTTTGTATGAGATGTATCTATAGTAGTATATCTGTACCGGTTGTATATCTGTACAGATATACTACTACCTATATTTTTGATTGTTTCTTTAAACTTTGTGAGATTATTTCTTTTGATAAGAAAATAATATTCACAACTTTTCACGGTGGTTTAAGTTACTGCAACCATACATAGACTATAGTTTCAGTTTATTCTCAAAATTTCGGTTCCACGCGGAAAAGTCAGCTTGCGTACGTAAGCCTCTTTATTTTAATATGTGTCAATAAAATTCGATAATGTGCTTGATCGTAAATAGTCATAAAAATAAACATGAAAATTGTTTTATACCGTTCCCCAGAGAATCCGATTTTGTATTGTTTTTCTGGTTGAATGATTAAATCACAATTTTTATTAAGCTCCAGGTTTTCTGTTTCTATATTGTTGATTTCAGTCCACTGATGTGCAACAATTTTCTGTGCCGATTTTGTATCTGATATGATGATGACAAACTCATGAACTTTTATTGGGACGTCGGACATCGACCTTTAAATAATCAAAATAAGATTGAAAATGAAATATTTCTCTTAATTCAAAATATAATCTTTGAATTGGAGATAAGAGCTATTTAGAGAGTATATTTGGAGATATTAATAATATTCAATGTTACCTAATGAAAAGATTGACGCGTGCTATATCATCGTGATGAATTTGATTCTTCTCAAATTTGACTGTACAATCAAACAGTTCGGTAATTTTATCCAAATCAAATGATAATGTTTTTATATGGAATGTTTCCAAAGCTTTCTCCCAATTGATGTGTATTTCAGGGACAATTTGACCTTGTATTAGTGGTGGAACTTTTTGAAAAACTTTCCATAAATTTTCTAATATCACAATGCGGTCAGAGTGTTTCAGATATATATGTTTTGACAAAGATTCAATGCTGCATGCAATGAAATCCGGAATTGATGTTGAAAGTAATGCCGAACGAAGAGTTTTAAGAAGCACTTGTGTGAATATTGTATTCCACTTTTCTGTACGATACTCCGATAGCATTAGGCTATAAAGGCTACAAAAAAAATATATAGATATATATGCAATTTCACAACAAGCCGAATGATTAAAATAGTAATTCTTTACGTCAGGGCTTTTGATGCATCGCCCATTTTAAGATATTCTTCGGCCATTTCAATTGCTAATTTCTTTCGAAATCTTGGACACTTATAACACTTATATTGTGCCATTGATTGACTCAACAATGTAATATGTGCAATCGAATGACCAAAATATTTCTCACATTCCTGAACAATGGCGATAATTTGTTGTTCATTTACTAGTTCTGTGCGATTGCCACCGCGAACTCCAAAGAAATCACTATACAATATGTTCGAATAATTCAACGCATTTTGTTCGGACAATGGTAGAAAATCAATAAGTGGTGATTGCGCTTGACAAATTTGTTGAAAAGATTCCTTTCGTTTGCTCATGTATTCTGCACTTTTGTGATAATATATTCCTGAAAATTTTGTATGGGAAGTACCCCAAATTTGAATGGAAATTTTTTTTAACTTTCAGAATGTTATTTTTTTGTAAAAATATAAACCTGGATGTTGGGTCTGAATGGCTGGAAGTCCACATTTAATTGCATCACAAAAAAGATCTGCAAAAGCGCTATACCTAGGTGGCGGGAAAAAGTGAAATTATAATTAGCGATTTTTAATATATTAATAATTCAAACATTCAACCGTATTATACTAACTGAACGCTCATCCATGCAAAATGTTCGAATGTTAAATCTTTGTAACCAACTCTGTTGCGATATTTATCAATATGTGTCCGGAATTGTGTAATCGCATCTCTTGGCGAGCCAATGTTGAACATTAACTTTGTTATCTTATAGTTTAAGAATCCTGCCACAACTTTTATTTCTAAGCAATTACTATCAACAATACGTATTTCTTCGAGCCACTCGTATGCCTGACTAAAATGCCTAGATTCAAATGAAAATATAACTAGAATTTATCTGTTCAAGTATTTGTCATGATCATTGAACGAACTTTAAAGCACTATTTAAATCAAGACGCATTTCACAGTAGAATCCAAGTTTGAATTGATGCCGAATTTTTAGTCCATAATGTGAAGAAATTTGATCTCTATGAGCTCGCACCTGTTTAGATGACCTATAATATAAAACCAATATTAGTAAATGTATCTTATAATATTAAAATGTGCCTTACTGTAAGTAATACGATTGAGCATGGTCCAAGAATGCAGATTCGAGACGCAGAGTATAACCTTTTTAAATCAAAAAAACATCTGATGAGAAGTATATTCAAATTTAAAAAAAATCTACATGCCATATGCATTTGATTTCAGTTATTTGAATGGCTGAGAAAAATCATGACTCAAATCATATGCACATAGAAGATATAAACTTGAATAATGCTATGCGGACAACGAATCGAAAAATTTGAACACGCAAGAGTGAAACAATTCAAAATCCACATGTTCTTTTTTCAAGATTCTGTCTTTAATATTTTTTGAACAAGTTTCATTGTTGTGTGCTTCTTGATCGCATTATATTTTTTTACTGTTGTGTGCAATATACACAGTCTCCGAGAGTTTCATATATACTCTCCTTGTAATAGCCAAATAACGCCTATCGATTCAATCACGATTGGTATTCGCTTACTATTCAATAGGTATCACATGGCAAGTTTATATGAAACTCTCGGAGACTCGGTATAGAGCACTCCCAACCGTGATTTGAATGATAAGGAATGCGATTTTTTCATTCCGATTTCACCAGGTGATACAGAAAGCTAAGTAGTATTTGAGAATTGAAGAAAAAAAATTAATAATTTTTTTCATTTTTCGCGATTTTTTACCAGTTACATTGAAAAACACGGAAGACCGCTGAAATGGAAAATGCAAAATATGTACGGACGTGTAACAGTGTCATTTCAGCGGTCTTTCGTGTTTTTCATACAAGCCTCCCATGTAGATGGTGAAAAAATCGCGAAAAATGAAAAAAATAATTACATTTTTTTTCTTCGATTTACAAATACTACTCAATTTTCTGTATCACCTGGTAAAATCAGAATGAAAAAAATCGCATTCAATATCATCTAAATCACGACCTGGACTTTTTTCACTGTTTAAGTGCTCTATACCGAGTCTCCGAGAGTTTCATATAAAGTTGGTATGTGATGCCTATTGAATAGTAAGCGAATACCAATCGTGATTGAATCAATAGGCGTCATTTGGCTGCTACATGGCAACTTTATATGAAACTCTCGGAGACTCTGTATAGAGCACAAAAAGTGAAAGAAAAAAACATTTTTTTCTCATTTCTCGAACACCACTAAATGGTCTATTAAAGACAGAATCTTGAAAAAAGAACATGTGGATTTTTGAATTGTTTCACTCTTGCGTGCTCAAATTTTTCGATTCGTTGTCCGCATAGCATTATTCAAGTTTCTATCTTCTATGTGCATATTATTTGAGTCATGATATTTCTCAGCCATTCATTTTTTTATTGTATTTTTCAGATTTACATCGAAACATTTTTCATTCGCAACACAATTCAATAACGAACAACGGACACAAATATTTTATCATACAACTACGTTGCATTTACTTCGTATTTTTGTTTACTTGGGAATGCGGATTGACAGTACGCATGAATTTTATGCCAAACCATTGGTACTTTCACATTTGTTTTGCTTTTTCAATAATAAATCAGCTATTGACTATTTAATTCAAGACATCACCTACGATGGGATAGTGAGATCTTTCAACCCTAAGTATAGCAGTGTTCAATGCATCATTTGACGGCCTAAGAAGAAAACAATAACATACAGAATATTCTGCAAAAAGACGAATACAAATTTATGTGAGCAAAAACCAAATATACAAACAGACAGCGCAAAGGTAAAACAGCCTACTTACATAAGAAACACATGTGTAGAGGGTTTACCCTGTGATTTGGATGAGAATTTTTTTTTAGCGAAAATTATTCGAATTTGCAAGGGTTTTTGATTCTAAAAGTGAAGACGTTTTTTTTAGCTCATCAATGTAGAAAATTGAGGAGAATTCTTTCAATTTCCTAGGGTTTTTGGTTCTGAGTGAATTGATTCCGATTTGCTAGGGCTTTTCGCGGAGAAAATTGTGACTTCCAAAAAAAGTGACTTCCAAAAAAAAAAACGAAAATTTGTCTGATTTGCTAGAGAAATTTTTGGTTTCGAAAAACCGCCGTATACAATTTGCCGCTACGAAGAACCACAAAACTGCTTTTTAATTGCAAAAGGATTGAAATGTTAACAAACAAAATGGCGTCATGCACACAATCGCCAAGGCACAACGAAAGCTGTCTCTACACAATAGTGCTAACAACACGTTCGATTGTTATCTAGACCGACCAATATAACGTTCCGTTACCGGCATTGTGCATGTGCAAACATGAAAATAGAACTACAGTGCTAGTAGCCACTGCAAGTCGATTCAAAGTGAGACACACAGACGCAGACATTGAACAACAATTGAAGTGATCGGACGCATACTAGAGGTGTCAACGAGCATTCGTTTTCGTGTTCGTTTGCGTTCATCACGAAAACGAACGAACACGAAACGAAATTCATCTTTGCGAACGAACACGTTCGTTCGTATTGGCTGTTCTTGCGAACACGAACGAACGTGAAAATCAATTTCCACTCTGCGAACGAACACGTTCGTTCGTAGTGGCCTTCTTTACAAACGCGAACCAACACGGATAACAATTTCTACTTTACGAACGAACACGTTTGTTCGTAGTGCCAGTCTTTGCGAAAGCGAATGAACGCGAAAAACAATTTCCACCCTGCGAAGAAATTACAAAATGACGATTTTTTAACACATATTTTTCCATCAAACCACTTTGTGGCTGCGAAATATGTTATATTTTGATAAATAAAAACATTTTTTGAAAGAAAAAAAATTTCAAAAATAAAGAGAATGTATTCATCGTCATTTATGTGTCACTATAGTGTGTTTTTTCAATAAGAATCTCGTTGGTTTGATCAGTTGACGCGCTGAATTTCATCACACTAAATCGTATGCGGTCAAGAGTTTAAAACCACAGAAGATGAATATTTTTTTTATTTCTACTCTGATTTAATATGTCTCAACGCGAAAAAGTTGTTTGAAAAAAAATATAATAAGAAAAATTAAACTCCAAACGAAAAAAATGTCAGCGTTCATTTTAACATGAACATATTTTTTACATGTTGAAATAGCATTTTACCTGCAAAAAAAATGTGTTGCGGTTAAACTGGCAGTTTGGTCTAATTACTTTGAATTTTCACATCTGTATTTTCTCAGAGTACGAACGCGTTGTTACATACATTATTTTCTCTTCTTGATCTGTCGATACAGTTTAGTTTTAAAACATTTATTGTTTGGCATCGCAAACCCTCTTCTGTTCAACAGAAAAAACTCGGCAAACTTCGGCAAAAAAGCCATTGAAACGCCAAAATAAGAGCAAAACGAGGTGAAACAACGAATACAAACCAAGAAATATTCACCGTGGTGATGACAATGAATCAATTTTTGCACGATGAATCCCAATTCCCAGACAAACAACGTCTGAGTGATTTGATTGAAAGAGTTGTGGTCAATTCCTAAAAATATTCAAATTGGAATCGCTTTATGTGCTATTCATATTGAATCGGTTGTTTGACACTCTCAACTTGACAGTGGTACACGATCATTTTGTGCATTGAGACTTGGCTGTAGCAAGAACAACTTTTCATCCGAAAAAACGATATTTGAATTGGCCTGCCGGCGCAACAGTTCTTTGCATTTTTGTTTTCTGGCTTGCATATTTTTGTTCGTAAGACCATGTCGACGGCTTTTTTTGAAGGTGTCGTGTTTAAGTCTTCTTTTAAAATACGTCACATCGAAGACCGGCTAATATTGTGCTCTTGAGCTAGCTTTCTGGCACTTCTTTGGCGATTTCGGCGAATTTTGGCTTTGACTTGTTTGATGAGTGCTTTTGTACGAACGGATCTTTTTCTCCCGGGTTTCTTTTGTATGTCAACAGTTCCAAGTTCCTTGTATCGTTTGATAGTACGTTCAATGAATGTCATGCAAACCTGTTCGTTTTGTAGCTGTCGGAAAATATCAATGTTTTGAAAACCGCGTTTTTGCAAATTTAAGATGAGTTGACGTTTCACATCCATTGTTATTGCGTCTCAAATAAACAATGAATCAAAATACGCATTATCATAATAGTTAGGCTAAGGATCAACAAACATAGCGGTGCAAGACCGGGTGAATCAAAAGTCATTGTACAGTCGTAAGAATGTTAAGTAAAAACCCTTCAGTTATTCTGGCCCACCCTGTATATAAATTCCATCGACCGGTTCCAAAAGCAAATCCAAATCCACAACCAAGACAAAAGAAAATGAGATACAAGAAGCAGTTGTAACCGAAAACATCAGTTCTATTCAATCGCGACATAAATGCAGTGAGAAATATGATTAAGAAAGGATGTATATTGTATATGTTGACTCTATTATTACAACAATTAAAATCAACAATCAAAAATATAAGCACGGACGTCTGCGCGAACATTCTCATATTGTGAATCTTATTGTTTCAAACAATCATACCAAGAAGTAGTAGTGGACGATGCTAACAAGTACTAGAAATAATAAGCACATTAATGGCATTTTTTTCTCTTTTCACAGTGATCAACGATCTCAAAACTACAAAATCTCAAATTTAAGCAATGTTCTTGTGGTCATTAATTTGCTTTTGATTAAAGAAAGTTTTCTTTTATAATTTCATTTTCCATTTTGTTCCATTACTCATTGATTAATTTCCATTTTTTCCATTCTTTTCTTCTAATCGACTCTAGGACACTTGTTTCATTCACTTCCAATAATATTTCGTTCGACAACATAATGTGAACACAACACATTAAGTTTTAAATTGAAAATCTAACAATTTATTTGTTCATTTACGTTCAAATAAAATAATAAACATTTGTTCGGAAAGAGATTTTTTAATATTAATTTAAAACTCTGCAGAAGAACTCTTTAATACGTGATTTATTGCATTTATATTTCCTCATTTCTGGAAATAGTATTTTGAATTTTCGAAATGCAACTGACATCATTCTGACATTTTTCGATTGGCGCAGTTCATATGTGTCAAATCCAACGATATTCAATTATAAGTATTAAAATAAAATGTCTTACATCCGTAAGATGAACTTTTCCGCACTGTGATCCACAACATGGATTTATTACGTATCTTTTACCGTAAATATGAATTCATAAGAAAACTGAATCTGATATAAGTTTTGCGAAACAAATAATTTTTGATAGACTTTTCAATGCCTGTATGATATCGTAATCATGTGAAAATTTGCAGATGTTATTTTTTTCACAAAAAGCTAATATTCTGAAAGTTTGAAGAAATGTCAATGCATTGGGGGTACTTCCCATACAAAATTTTCGTTTTTGAGCAAAAAATCGGAAATTTTGTATGGGAGGTACCCCTAGTATGCCTTGAAATGTCTTCAAACTTTCGAAATGTTATTTTTGTGTGATAAAAATAACCTGTGCAAAGTTTCAGCTCATTACAATATCATACAGGCATGGCTTCCATACAAAAATCGATTTTTTTTTTTAATTTTTGTATGAAAAGTGTGTCGAAAATTATTTGTATCGCAAAACTAAGGTCATATTCGGTTTTATCGTACCCAAAAAACCCCCTATACATATTTTTGAGTGTTTAAGAATACATTAAATATCACTTTTGGAAGAAAGATTGAATTTTTCCCATGGATGGCCATGGGCACAGACATGACACTTCACTCTATCAACCAAAGTCGCTCAAAATCTAATGGTTTCTATTCCTCGGCACCCCCAATCATCCTGTGAAGTCAGATTTTGAATTACTTTTCTTGTTTGAAAATTATCGTGTTAACAAATTTTTGCGTACAGGGTACAGGGTACAGGGTACCACGCACATACATTCGGACATCGGAAAAACGCTAGATTCGTGTTCCCTGGCCACAAAAACACCCAGAAAACATGTTTTTTGAGGGTGTTAATTTTTCGACCGATTCCAATACTTTACCTTACACACTAGGTGTGTGCGGAAAAGTAAAATGCCAAATTGTTAGCATATCGATCCAACGACTTGACAAATGGTAATGTGGAAAGAATAGAAAAGATCATTGGTTTACTTAGTAAAGGGCCACTCCAATATGCATAGAAAACATGTTTTTGGGAACATCGCAAACATGCTGGTTTGCATGGACATGGTTGCAAAGCGAAACCGATTGCTGGACTACCGGACTCAGTCGCTACTCGCTAGTCTGCCAGATACAATTGTAGCAACGGTTGGCGAACGTGCTTTGCAAAAAGGACGGAAGAAAATTAAGATTCGAGTTTGCAATGGCAATCATCAGGATATGGACGAAATACTCCGGAATGGGCGTTTAATGTCAAAGTTTAAAGTTACCTACAAAAATTGGCCATTAAAAGTTCAGGCTGATGATTCTGCTCCACAGACAGTTGATTGGCACCGCGATACTGTTTCTGCAAAATGCATTATGCTCAAAGGTATGAATCAATTGAAAATAGAGTCTATTTTGTGGCCTTGTGGCGTACTACAACGGTAGTACGGAGGGAAGGAGCCCGTAGGTGAGTAAAGTTTTTAATTTAAAAAAATGATAATTCATATACGATTCAATTGATACTAATGATTGTCGTTCCTCTTTTCCATGTATTCACACCTGAATGTTTCGCTATGGCAACCGTGAAAATGACTGAAACTACACACGAATTCGGGTCCAAATTTGGCCGTGAATTGTGCCTGGTGAATTTGCATTACAAATTGTTTCTGTATAGTTGTACATTCATTACCTATGATTAAACCTACATAACTCAAAAAACTACCTACCCATTAGATTATCGTTATATGGAAGCACAAATATCATTTTCTGATTTATGTCGCATTTTGCGGCTAACGTGGATAACCGATCACTAGAAGATACGTCATCGGCATTTGTGGATTTTTGTAACAAAACGATTACTATCTTTGTATGCCTCGTCTAATCCAGAAGAAATTAAAACAGTTTAAAAACAAAAGGTGCTATATACAATTTTTTCACCTGCATGGAGTTTTTAATGCTTTGTACTAAAGATAAACACTGAAATTGTTTGTCTGTCCAATCGGGATCATTCCACTCCATATCTTGAAAAAGTGCTATAACAGCAGGTAGCACATGTAAATGCTTTAGAATCCAATTGCGTTTGATTATTCCTTTTGGGTGATACCTTAAAATGACCACAAAAATAGCATATAATTGGAATATCAATAGAAAAATATGTTTGATATTTTTGTATATACCACTCATACTGCCGTTTCGGTTTCACAACAGGAAATTCGTAGTTAGTTGGAAGCAATTTAAATTGAATAGCAGCCCTATATGTATACAAATAAAATTATTATAATTTTAATTAATTTATAATAGCAGAGAATTGATGAGATATTATTTGATTATACCGATCTAATTTTCGATTAGTGTTAAATGCATCCCAAATTGACTTGTGTACAAGATTTCGGCTACAATCCAATCCAACAAATCCAATTACTGGTTGTGGTGTTTCCATCAACTCAGGAGGAAGCATATTTGCATCCGAAGGAACGGTTACGGGCAATTGCTGCATACTTTAATTTATGATGTTTTGAAAAATAAAATTGAATTTCAAAAAATCTTGAAATGAATTTTTTTGAAATGTTTTTCTTATGTTTTCACTTCAAATTACACTATGATGGCGATGAAAAATAATCGATTGACAGAACGAAATGAGATTTTTGACATTTAAAATCGTCTGTTCGCTATAAACTATTTTTATAATTGTGTGTATATAGAAAACAATTTCAAATGAGAAAATGGAGTGAAAAAAAAGAAATATATTAAAATATTATCAAATCGTCCAGTAATTTATGGGACCAACTTCACGCTACTGTTTTGGACAGCGTCAAACCAATCATGCACACGTCAAACAGTACATACATATATATGTCAAACAAAAGACCATGTTATATGCAAAGAAATAATTATTTTTGTTTAAAAATCCGATTGGAATGAAACGGAATTGACGGACTGAAAGGAAAATAATAGCAGCATTTGATTTCCTTTAAAATCCAATCTTTTGTTTTAACAAAAGTGAATAAAAAATTGCCGTATTTTTAAATTATTTCTTGCAATATTGACAAATTATTCATGAATTGTAAAAATTTTAAAATCCAACTGGAAATTTGATTATTCGACCCACGCGAATAAATTTATGCGGTGTATAAACAAGACATAGTCTAAACGAGATAACAATATATAAAAAGTTCACTCTAAACACATGTTATCATAATTACTTTTACAATTACAATGGCTGTGTATTTCATACCTAAAAATCGAATGTAAGTTTTTGCATTTTGCTATTTTATTCAGTTTTCTTTTATGTGTTATGAGTGATAAAAAAATTCAGTAATAAATTGAATAAAAATGTACATAAAATAATAAAATAAAATGACTTTGAAATAGTCAGCTTTGACAGTGTAACTAAAAATGCTTGTAGTTTTCTTGCATTAAATTAAAGTGTTATTAAACAAGAAGGAAAAAGAAGACCTATAAAAATACGGTTCAATGTTTTAATAAGTTAAACGTGCATTTGATTTTAAATTGAGCTCCAAACCAAAACATAATTAGACAAAAAAGTATTTTTTGGGAAATTTTCATAAATAAAAATAATTTTACTCATTTAATTTTTTTTTGTCATTCATTTATATAATGTTAATGTGAATATTTTGATAAGAAAGACAATCATTTGACACGAAATCATTTTCATGGGCATTATCAATGGTTCACAACAAGAAACAATATTGAAACGGTCGAAGTACTTTAAAACTATTAAAGATAAGAGTAATGTGTTGGGAATTTAAATCGGAATTACAGTCGAACTCCTATAACTTGATTCGTTTATTATAATAGTATAATTAATATGACATTTTTTTCAATAGATTTTCAGGGCATTTTACAAATATAGATGTTACGCAAAGTAAATGGGCATCTCGTTGGATAACCGTTTATAAATCATCGAATAGTACAAATTTATCAATTAATAGTAAAAACATACCTCATCGTTATTATTCGGTGAAGCAGGGGAATGAAAATAAGGCGGAAATATCAACGAAAAAAGGTAAATTTAGTAAATTAAAACGAATTCGAAAATCATGGGGATGGAAGGCAGGAGCAGGTTGGACTGTATTATCTGTATTGGATTGGTGGTTATTAGCTGCTGGCGGGTGGTTGACCTGGCGTAGTATGATTTTAAAATGGACACCAATTGGAATTGGCTTGGCTTCACTCCTTCATTGGCATTTACATAATAGAAAATGTGATACTTTGGGCCAGCCAAGAACTGCATCTAAAATCATGGTAACTCATGGTATTTTTATTTATATCTATTGAACATAACGATAGGAGAGTCGGTTTTCATTCAACCATAATTCACCCATAAGTGCTGAATAACATACTCATCTCATCGTTATATTCAATAGATATATAAAAATTATTTAAACAAATAACACACTTGGAAATAAATTATTTCTGGAAAATAGCTCAATATGACTGAGCGGAATTTATTTCAATTCTTTGAAAATCTACATTTTCTAGTCCATTTATTATAATTATTTTCCAAGTTATTCAGATAAGTTTTTTTATATTTAAATTATTATAATGAGCATTGTTTTTTACATTTAAATGACAAAGAGTTCTTGTAGAGTGCTTTTCTTATTTTCGACAAAGATTTTGATGAGATTTATTTTTCGATAATAGGCTGAAGTATATTGCTCGTTGCCACTACGACTGATTAGTCGAGGTAAGAAGCAATCAGTCCTTCAAATTCAATGCTTTTCTTTTATGTGTCTGTTTAATCATTTCCATGTATGCCTTTTCGCGGTCTTATAATAAGTGCTGTGATATACTCTAATAAAAAAGGTTAAATTTATCAGTCTTCTTTGAATAGACGTATCAAAGAAAAGCATTAAATTTAAACGACTTTGTTTGAATCGCATCTGATCTGAATAAGAAAACTATTATTTTGAATGACGCGTATTTATTATTTCTTCTCCGAGGATGGGGTTGGTTGGCCGATTGTCGAGTACCAACAATAATACGGCCTGTTGTTTATGGTGCTTATTCCACTGCTTTTGGTGTAAACATTGAGGAAGCTGAAAATACAAATTTTAAGTAAGTTATCTGTAACGTGTTGAATAAATAACAAGAAATAATAAAATTTCAGAATGGTTATTTTAAAACTTCCAATTATTTCTGGTTAGTATTGATTTTGCATAAGTCAAATGATTGACTCCAAGTTCTCCAACTATAAGGTCCGAATATCGACGGAACACAGACATGTACTCAAAAATTGTTAAACATAAGTTATATTGCGTTTAATGTAAACGGACTTTCTATGCTGCGTCATTCAGAAAACAATTTCGTTTTTTATTTCCATTCATACATATGAATCGGCTAGAATATTCGTGATCTCAAGAAATTTGTCAAAATAAAACTGCAACATGCCCATACATTTTTTATATGAACATGTTGCTCTTTTACTCATACAACTTTGCTAGCTAGCTATCTATATCAGCTATTGTTATAGGAATTTATATATCCCTATAGCAATAGCTGATATAGATAGCAATAGCTGCTATTTAACGCATCTCTTCGCTCGGACGCTGCGTATACGCGACATAACAATGACACCATTTAATGATTTAAAACGTTAAAAATGTCAAACAATGAGACCATTGTTATGTCCAGCATTCACACCGTCCGAGCGAAGAGATGCGTTAAATAGCAGCTATTTATATATACCTAGAGCAATAGCTGATATAACTAGCTAGCTGATATGCTTTTACTTTAACAAATTTCTTGAGTTCACGAATATTCTAACCGATTCATATAAATATTAAATTTACATGGTTTATAGAAATTCGAGCTAAATAAAGATATTACAAAATTTATACTACCGCTTACTGTTGATGTACAATACATGTTTAATTTTACAAGTTTACTAAAATTATTTTGAACATTTTTTATTGGTGTCTGAATAATTGTTTTCAATTTCTCTATATAATAGAGACTATCGTAGCATCTCTGAATTTTTCACACGCCAATTGAGGCCTGGAGTTCGCACTATATCAAATGAAAGCTGTATGGTGTCGCCAGTTGATGGACGAGTTCTCCATTTCGGCATCGCTAATGGCCATCAAATCGAACAGGTAAGTAAAATCGCTTAATTCTACGCTTAATTTGTAAAGCAGTTTTATATTATGTTTATATATATATATTTTTCAAGGTCAAGGGCGTGAATTACAGCTTGGAAGAATTTCTAGGTCCATTGAATAAAAATGGTGTAAAACCTGAAGGAAATGGTTTCAAACATATAAAAGATGAAGTAATTCATTATATTATTAAATAGTTCATTATTATCATTTTATTATTTATTGGTTTTATTTTTAAGGAAACTAATTTGTACCAGTGCGTAATTTACCTGGCACCAGGAGACTATCATAGATTTCATTCACCGACAGAATGGAAACCGATCATCAGGAGACATTTTCATGGAGAACTTCTTTCAGTTAATCCGAAAATTGCGCAATGGTTGCCCGGACTTTTTTGTTTAAATGAGCGCGCTGTTTATTTGGGTCATTGGAAATTTGGATTTTATAGTTTCACCGCAGTTGGTAAGTAGATATTTTTGAAAAAAAAAAGAAAAAAGTATTTGCTCCTGAAATTATCCGAAATTTTAGTCTGTTTTTAACCAATTTATCCTTACATTCGCAGGGGCTACGAATGTGGGATCTGTTGATGTATATTTCGATAAAGATTTGAAAACAAACAAATGGGTTGGTATCAAGGCATAATCATTTCAAAATTACTATTCCGTTACTGAAGAAATGCTATCCATTCTTTTAAGTATTTTTCCATTATTTTCATTTTTCTTTGCTAATTCATCCCCAGGTTGGAATGAAATTTGGAAAAAATAACCTAATAAACGAATATGATGAAATACAACTACCACTTGAAACAAAATTAGCGAGAGGAGAACTTTTGGGTCAGTTCAATATGGGCAGTACGGTTGTAATGATTTTCGAGGCTCCGAAACAGTTCAAGTAATACATATTTTCATCGAAATACATGCTTTTAACTTTGATTATGGAAGACATTAATTGTTTTTAATCGAATACCTTTTCACAGATTTTCCATTTCCAATGGACAAAAAGTTAAGCTAGGTGAACCACTTGGATGCATTAAAGAAAATGATAATCCAGTAAATGAATAGGAAACAAAGAAATTTGATTGCTGAACCATTGTAACCTCAAATTGTAAAATTAATTTAAAATAAAATATTGCAAAAAAAAGTTTTAAAAATATTTTTTTTGTTCTCATAACATTTGTCTGAAACAAATAATGTAAATAATGAATATAATCGAATTGAAATAAAAAAAAACGAAATTCAATTTTGTTTTTAAAATATTGTTCGTTGTTTATGCATTTCAAGTTTGGTGTTTGACATGTGTCAAAACATCGTTGACGTTTATAATCACGTTTATGTGTCAAAATCTATAACAAAAATAACATTTTTTACTAAATAGCCTGATTGCTTTATTGTGTGCATGATTTTAAATGCCAGCTAAATTTTGAAAATGACAGAAGCTCAAGTAAGATAAACTAATTGTTATTACAAGAACACAATAATAAACTAATTATTATAGTTGAAAATAAGTGAATGCATAAATTCACACGATGAGGGAACAATAACATCAATAACATCAACAACTACTCTGAAGCACCAAATGGTCCGGTCTCCTGCTAATTTTGCGAGATTAAAATGCAACACTGATTTGGTAATTTATTCCTTGTATGGTATTGGTGCATAAAATCTGACGTTTTTTTTTCTTTATCAAGAATGTGCCGCCATCAAATTGGCTTAGTAGCTCGTTCAACTCATATGGCCTTCAGCAAGCATTGTCTCAAGCAACAGGGTTCTCGAGGTACTTGGATGTTTCTAATACGTCAAAAATTGAAAAGTTGTTTCAAATTTCACATATCGTTCAATAATAATTATACAAATATACATTTAGTAAAGTTATCGGTATTTTCTTATCTATTACATTCAACACAAACTCAAATGAAACTTTTTATTCCATGCTGTAGAAAAACGGCTTCTTCTTCGAAAATAAAAACCTTAATTAATAATATGATATTCTTTTTCTCGAAATGTTTAATCAATTTAGTTTCCGAATGGCACATCTGTTCCCTGATTGTCTCAGTGAGGTGGATGTGGTCACAAATGCTGAAAACATAAAGCGTTTATTAAAACTACCATATGACGCATCGAATTGTGCCATAAGTATGATGGTAGGTAAAATACATGTTTTCGTTTTGAATACTATATGGTTATAATTTAATTTAAAGGTTCATCGCATCGGAAATACTCTGCTTATTGACGATTTCGATGTGCATCGATTTTTGCTGCAACAGGAGGATGGAATTTATTGGAAGTGGTTGAAATCATTCATTTGTGAACACTTTATGACTCGCCTAAATGAACAAGAACGAAATGTCTTGAACAAACAGTCTACGTTCAATGAATCAAAGCATCAACGGAGTCTTTTGTCAAAATTTCTTTATCATAGCTTAAAAGAAGTTACAACTTCAGATTCTGAAGATGCTTTGAACATGGATATTGGACCCGATTTCACTAAAAATGAACGATTACTGCTTCCCGAACCAAATGTTGAAGATGTTTTTCCCGATCCGAAACACACAAAACACACTTACAATCGAAACGTAATTTGGCAGCTAAATAACACCAAAATGTATGTATTACAAAATCTTCAAAGTACCAAATGGATAATGTACAATGTTTTTTTCACTCATTCATAGGTTGATTGGGACAGATGTTCCCATTTTCGGAACAGGGCCATGCATAAGCTTGCGATTAAGAGATATGAGACAGCCTATAAACGTCTTGACTGGTAAAAATAATGGGCAATTCACTTAAAAATTGAGTTTCTATTATTAATTAATTCTTATTGATTCTTTTTCGATTATTTGTCGATTATTTTGGATTATCGTCATTCATGCATTAATTCTAAAACACCCTTCAATCCAAAAGTAATCGAACTTTTTAAAAATAATAGATACCACTGGATATTATATGCGTTAGAAAGATTTCATGAATATCGGATCACTGACAGCCAAGTTATTGCGTCAGATATTTTAGTATATTTACGGCTCGGTTCAAGGCCGAAAATTGAACACAGAATAGTTATATCGTCTCGTTCTCATCGGCAAATGCACTCGTTGAAAAGAGGATAGCCATACGAGATATCTCAAGCGAAAATGGAGAATTGTGCAATTTACATTATAGTTTTTTTGTTGACAAATGACTGAAAAATGAGCAAGAGCAATATCGTGAAAAAGTGACTTACTGTCTATTTCATGTTCTAGAGACTCTATACATCTGACTATCTGCAATAATCGTTATGGATTATTCAATATATAGGTCCTCAGTTAATATTGGGCTCATCAGAGCAAAAGATTCGATGATCGGTTCCACGAAATTCACAGAAAATTGGTCCACGAAATGAGAATATCCTGAAAATTTGACTTTTTCCAAAGATGTCGATATGCGAAGCATGTACCGATATAGGATCTCGTGTCTTAGTTTTTCTAGCTTATAGACAGCATGAGCAATCATAATAAAATGGTTTTTGAAATATCTAATTCGTTAAAACTTTCAAAATTTATCACAAAAGTTGATTATTTTTTGTTTGAAATTCATTTTGCCACCGAGAGCAAAAGATACTAAAAAATAAAGAGGCTTACGTACGCAAGCTGACTTTTCCGCATGGAACCGAAATTTTGGGAATAAACTGAAATCATGGTCTTTGTATGGTTGCAGTAACTTAAATTACCGTGAAAACTTGTGAATATTATTTTCTTATCAAAATAAATAATCACACCAAGTTTAAAGAAATTTCAATCCAAAAAATAGCCTGTTCAAAGTTTCAGATCATTACGGTACCACAAAGGCAAGTCTTTCATACAAAAATGAAACTTTTTGTGGATTTTTGTATGAAAAGTCTGTGAAAAATTGATTGCATCTTAAAACTAACATCAGATTCGGGTTTCTCCCCCCACTACACATTCACTCAGCGTTCAAATTGAAAGAATATCATTTCAAGGCATTTTTCTCATAAGTGCCTCTTCAGAGTCTAAGTTTTACACCGATCAATCAATGTCGTTGAAAATTTGACCAGATTTATTCCTCATAGTGCCCAATCATCCCGTGAAGTCACATTTTGAATTTCATGTCTGAGCACGAAACCATCGTGTCACCAAAATGGTTGAGAAATGATCAAAAATGTATGGATGTGGGATTGTGGGTACTCCATTCGGACCAAAAAAAATTACACCGGTCAACAGATATTGCTCAAAAACTAATCAGCACGTCTCCTAGTAGTCCCAAATCATCCTGCAAAGTCAGAATTTGAATTGAGTTTTTGGAAGAGGAATTATCGTGTTAACAAATTTTGGCAACACGCCACAGGACACAGGACACAGGACACAGGACACAGGACACAGGACACAGGACACATCACACACAGCGACGCACATTAATATGTCCCAAAATCATCTCCAATCGTGTTTTCTACATTAAATATGCATAGAAAACATGTTTTGGGATGACTTTAATTTTTTGGCCTAATACAATACCTTCCCTACACTAGGTGTGCGGAAAAGTAATAAGACGCAATATCTTGACATGTTTACATCCGATCCTCATGAAACTTGGTCAGTGGGGCAAGTACCTTTCTAACGCATATAATATCCAGTAGGTGGCGCCACTGGTATCTATTATTTTTAAAAAGTTCGGTTACTTTTGGATTGGAGGGTGTATGTATACATACGATGAGATTGCCAAATGACGATGATAAAAACAGAATGTATGTAATATAGAAAGAAAAACTGTGTGTCTGGGCGAGTGAATGAGTGAGCGAGTGATTATATATTGAAAATCATTAGAATGTAAGGCACGTATATAAGTATATAACTTCTGTTTTACTTTTTTTGAAGGGATTGATTACTGGCTGGATAATTTGATGTGTAACGTACCTGAGATTTTGATGTATGTGATTTTTATTTCTAGTTCAAAAGTTCCTTTTCTAATCTTCTATTTATTCGTTCATATCTTTAAATGCGTTGATAGGTGTTATCACCTTAACGGTAGGTCATTTTTTATTGGTAATATTTACAGTACCCGTTGATCATCGCTGCATTTCAGGTTTGGTACAAAAATATGAAATTATTAAGACGGAAGATCTCCCTTTTATCGATAACTCACAATTTTCACCTACTATTATAAGAAATGTCGCTCAGAATATTTTATCGTTTCTTAAACAAAATGCAACGCAACCTGGGCATACTTATTGGCTATTTAAATCGAAAAAAGATGACATCGTGAAGTTGTACGATTTAACATCACTATGTACATGTGATGGTGAGTTTTCTCCGCAATCAGAAAACGATAAACAAAACGATAAACATAAAAAAAGTGATGAAGACCAACAATCCCCGTTCACAATCCCCGTTGCGTGCGTTTTGTATAAAGTTGCAAAAAATATGAAAAATTCAAAAGATCGCATCGAAGCAAAGCAGGCTGGCTCAATAAAAGCCCTACTAGAAAACTGCATCAAACTTTTACCAAAAGAACAATATCCGCAGATCGTAACAAGCAGTTTCTATTTGCTATCGGATTTACAAATCCCGGCCGGAACCGATCCCATATCTCCAAAATTTATTAATGAAGTCGATAGTGAATCTGAATCCATCTATGATGATTTTGACAGTAATAGTAGTGAGTGTAATTTTTGTAGTAGTTTTATTATTTTTTACAAAATAATCCTATATAATTGCTTTATACACGGTCATTTCAGGTGAGGGAGATGAAATGTCAGCTAATGATGTCCTTGAAAACACTGTCATTGACACAAATACGGAAGCAAGCATTCATAAAAAGCGAAGTGAAAACCATTTTCCACCACCATTGACTGGAAATATTGATGAGAGATGCACGCATGCATTGGAGTCTATACTGAATGGATTGAATTGTTTGCAATATTTTTCGATAAGTGAGGAAAGTGAGAAAGAAGAAATTGAAAAACAAGCTGAAAAAATGCGAATCATTCAAGAAGAACAGAATCCAAATATGGCAAAACGAAACCAAGCTATTCCGTTGCCATATGAAGAATTACAAAGTACAACCGAAAAAAAGAATCTGGAACGCAAAAAATTACCTATCATCGATGATTGGAATACACACCTGAAATTGCTCCTTATTGAAAAGTCATGTTTAGTTTATGCAATACTAACGGAGCAAGAATATCAAGAATCATGTTACGGTAGTGCTTTGAAATACATTTCAATTGCAACAAAATGCTACGAAATTGTTTCAAAGCAAGCTTCCAATTACTTATCGAATTTCATTGAAGATAATTATCGTACAAATCTATTTAGCAGAAGAGGAGATTGCTACTTTTTAATGGCCCAAAATATCAACAAAATTGAATCATACGTGGACCAATATAAGAATATGAAACGAGATGTTGATTTGAAAATTGAAAAAGAATTACAAAAAGATTTTACGTCACTGAATACTCATACTTTAGATGACGTTGAATTACCGACTAATATTGAGCAATTGATTTTATTAAGTATAAAAAGCTATGAAATGGCTTTACGCTATGCAAATGGAAAAGAATCACGGTTTGAAATACTTGGTCGAATTGGTAGCGTATATTTTTTTAATCATATTTAGAGAAAAGTGTATGAATTTCAGTTCGGATTCTTTTTGTCTTATGCTATAATTTGAAAGAAGAAGAAAATGTGTATCTCTGTATTGTGGATGCATCTATTATTTTGAGCTTTTGAGTAAAAATCCACAAGACTTCAAATTATGGCATTGAAATTTCAATATTACTGACAAAAGAAATCATCGGACAAACAAAAATTCGGGAGAGAACTGAAATTCGGCAAACCAAATGAATATTAAATAAAGAACAACAATCATCTGATTATTCCAGGTAGCGTAAAAAATGAGTTGGGCGTAAAATATATGCATTGGTCTCAAGAAGAATACGAAAAAAAATATAGATCGCAAGCACAATCAGCAAATAATCTTTCAGGTGGCTTTGACGACAATGACAAACAACAAACACCAGAATTAATGTATGTGAAACTTGCCAAAAAATCGTATGAATGTTTTGTCGCTGGGATTAGTTTGTTCGAAGAAATTAAAGATGACGCCAATTTATGCATTTTGCTATGTAATATGGGACGTTTTATGAGATTTCGTGCACACATTGAAGACAATGACAACTTCGGATTCAAGAAAATTTGTTATGAGCGTGCATTTTGTTGGTATCAGCGTGGATTAACTATTTTGGAGTCAAAAAAGCATAGTCCGCATCTCTCGTCATTATGGGATCTTTTAACATATGAATTATCATCTGGAAAATTTACATTGGCTAAACTTATGCAAGATAATTTTCGAACTAAAATGGTGAGTTTAATTTTGATTTTAATAATAATAATAATTACATGCAATTGTGTAGCTACTCGCTAAAGCTATTTGTTTATTTTATAGGATGAAGTCACCAAACATGAAATTATTGAAACATTGATGGGATCATTGAAACTATGCGACACACAGGCATGCAATTCTCGACAGCAAATTTATATGATTCGCACAGGACAAATCTACGCAAATCTTGCCAATATCTACGCTGAAGAGTACAAATGTGCTGACAATGCACGAAGGAAAAAATTAATTAATCTTTGTAACTACTCATATTATCAAAAACCTTTATTGTGGTCAATGCATTACATTCAAACCATATACAAATTCAATTTGTATCAGCTTTGTATTTTTAATTTTAACAGAATCTATTTTTTATCTTCATTTCAGGTAACTTATATTATGAGAAAAGCGTTAAAGTCTTCAAAAATATTGATGCATTTGCCGAGTTTTTGGAGGTTCAAATAAATCGCATGGAATTTCAAAATACTTTATTTGAAGGCTCTCACACAGCTTCTCAAAAGTGTAAATTTCTTCCCTTTTTCTTATTATATCAAATATAATACATTCACAACCTTCATGATAATCAAAAACCGTTAGAAACTGAGAAAGTAGAGTGAAAAAAAAGAATTACATTAAGAATAATTTGTAAATGAACTGAAGTCTCGATAGCAAACAGTTTGCTTAAAAATTGAGATTTGGTAGTGGCATTGAAGAGAAAAATAGCAAAAGCAAAAAACAACAGCAACAACAAAATCCAGAGCACAGCAACACCTTTTAAACTGGACCTAAATCAAGTAAGGTCCAAAACAAATGGATCACAGTTATCGCTACGGTTCAAATATCGACATTTAAAGTGGACAGAGCAGCAGTAAAATAATTCAAGCTGCGGTCATTCTACGATAAGTTTTAATTAAATCTATAGGTAGAATCTATCATTTTATGACAACTACCAAATTTCAAATTCAAGTAATGATGTTTGCTCAAGAGAATTTAGATTTGTTTGTGTTTTTTTATGATTCCTGGTTTCTAATGCGACAAGTGACGAAACCACATTGGTGTGTTGAAAAGTCGAACTCGCTATATATACACGTAATATACGAAATCCAAACCTAGAAGGCCTTTCGCCCTGATGTATGGTTGGAAAGGCCTTGGGCCATAGATCAAGAAAACATGTCAAAGTTCGAAAATCGGTCCACCTGTCTTCAAAATATGGTCCTTTCAAGAAAAGGGTCATAATTCAGTTCTATGGCCATAGATGGCACTAAATACACAAATATATAATACGTTTTGAATATACAAATGTATATTAAGTTTATATTCACAGTACACATAAAATATATCTACCAACTATTTTCGTCACAAAATTGATATCAGAAATGTTGTAAAACTATTGTAAAAAATTGAAACACAAATTTTGCTTCCGTCACTCGTTCTTCACCTCGATAGAGGTTTTTTATTTGATTGCGATATACTCCTATTTTTTTACAAAAGAATCCTACCTATATAATTGAGTTTTTTTCTGGTCATTTTCAATTTCAGGTAAATGTCTCCATACATCTTTAAAAATTGCTTTCGAAAACATTGATGATTTCATGAAGATGGACAAATTTGATAACAATATAAATTTATTGAAACAATTTGAATCGATGTTACAAAGAAGTTTGAGAATTTTGGTTCAATCCGCAATACAAAAATATAGTGATGCCACTAGATTAAAACAAGTATATAGTTTCTCGCTTCAATCACACATAAACCGAAACGATTTCAATGCATTTCGTCTGCATATTGCAAATACATTAAATCAAATTCAAGCCAATTTTCAATTCATTTGAAATTTTAAAGATTGTTTTAAATATGAATAGGTATTTGAAGTTCATAACGTCAATAAGAAAAAATGAAATAATGTATAAAAAAATAATCAATGAAATGAAATTTTGAGAATAAACTCAAACTATAGTCATTAAATGTGTAATGGTTTTAGTAAATTCTAACGTTGAAAAATGTAACGTTTTGGCCCATTCTGGTAGTCATTTTCGTGTCAAATGGAACGGAGATCATATGCATAATTCAAATGTTTCTGGATTTTTTCAGTCATTAGAAGCCAAACCACTTGTTAAATAACCACAAACTAAATAACAAGTGGTTTGGCTTCTAATGATTGAAAAAATCCATAAACATTTGAATTGACGGCCTAAGAAGAAAACAATAACATACAGAATATTCTGCAAAAAGACGAATACAAATTTATGTGAGCAAAAACCAAATATACAAACAGACAGCGCAAA